CCAAGGCGGAGTGCGTGGGGGGGGCCCAGCTCGCACCGGGCTGAGTATGGGCAAGGCATGGGGAGCACGTGGGCAGGGCATGGGGAGGACATGGGCATGACATGGAGAGCACATGGCACGGGAGGACATGTGCAGGGCGGCCCCCGCGTCGCCAGCCGCAGCTGTGGTCCCCGGGCCCGCGGCGGCGTGGGGCCGGCAGGGCTTGGCGCGCTGATCCCTGGCCCGCTCTCGCCCAGGCCGTCGGGGAGCAAGGCCGGGCAGGTGTGGGCGCCCGAAGGATCCACCGCCTTCAAGTGCCTGATCTCGGCCCGGTTCTGCGCCGCGCTCCTGAGCAACGTCTCGGACTGCGACGAGACCTTCAACTACTGGGAGCCGGTGAGCGGTGCGCCCTGCCTCGCCCCGATCTCGCCGAGCGATGCGGGAACGCGCCTGCCCGGTCACTCGCCTCCTCTGTTTGTCCCTGCCCTGCAGATGCACTACCTCGTCTACGGGAAAGGGTTCCAGACCTGGGAGTACTCGCCTGCCTATGCCGTCCGCTCCTATGCGTACCTTTGGCTTCACGCCTTGCCAGCTTTGTTCCACGCCAGAGTCCTACAGACCAATAAGGTAAATCAGAGCCACCCCTCTGGGAACCTGCCGGAGCCGCGCTGACACCAAGGGCATCAGAATTGTTAACAAGCCTCTGTACGTGTGTGTGCAGGGGGGCGCAGGCACTAAGCTAGCCTCAGGTTGCTCTAGTGCCTGCAAGCTAGGAACTGGTTGACAAGGTGCCCCTTCAGATCAGCGAAGTTTGACGTTATGGCTGTGGATTTCTAAGGAGGCAAAGGGATTTATCCAGCAAAGCTTCCGTTCACATTGCTGGGAGATGTGTGGCTAATTTGACTCGCTGCTTGGGGAATCTCAGCCCAGACCACTTTTCCATCCCAGCTCCCTACGATTAATGTTAGTGGTTTCATTTTTAAACAAAGTATGTTAGTGCTGGCATGCTGTGAGTCTCACATTCCACGCCACGCACTGAAGACACGTGACTGTGTACAAGGAACATTGCAAACATGCTGTCTGCCAGACTCGATATGTTCCCGCTTCCACGCCAGATGCCGTGGATCACTAGATACCTAGGATGGGTGGATCTGTGGGAATGTTCCCCATTATCCACAGCCATTTTCAGGAAGAAGGGGTAACTTAATTCTGGTTCACTTGAGTCACATTTTGCCAGAAAGACTTGCATCAAAGGGCTGGATTCTGTACCTGTCAGATCAGGAGGAGCTTGCTATTGATCTCAGTAGGCACAAGGTTGAAAATTGAAAGTAAGGGCTTTGGTTCCATGATTTAACCAGCAGAGCCCTTGGGGTTCTCACCAGGCTGGAATCGATCCGTCGTGGTGGAGCCTTTCATTCCTGTGTGCATTGTTTGCATGTGCAAACCCCATTCTGACTCTGAGCATTTCTCTTAGGTTCTCATCTTCTATTTCCTGCGATGTCTCTTGGCCTTCGTGAGCTGCGTGTGTGAGCTCTATTTTTATAAGTGAGTAGAGGAAGCTGTTTGCTTAGTGAATAGCCAGGTGCAGTGTAGACAGCACAGTGCAGCTGTTGCCACTGACACGGAGGGTCTAGCTCACATGGAAGTGCCTTGCTGCAATGTACTTCTTAACACTACAGTTGATCAGAATACATATCTAAAAAGGGTCCTAGAAAAACACTGATTAAAACCTCACCATTGTGGGCCAGATTCTAGCTGGAATCCACCTAGTACATCTTGACTCCAGTACTTGGCTCAGGCTGTGTGCAGAGCTCTTCCACTGATGGTGTAACAGCACGGAATTGCCAATCCAAAACAGAGCCAAGCTTTGCTGGTGCTGGACAGCGAGTGGCTGGTGCTGGTCATTTCAGCTAGGATACACTAATAACTTCAGCCCTCATCACCCCAGGCTCCCCCCTAGCTTGACTGACCTGATTCCTGCTCTGCTGCACATTCCAGTGGAGTTTGCAGCTCCCTCAAGCAGAGGCCTGGCAGTGCCAGTAGTTGGTGTAATTGTTGCTGGCTGCCTCTCTGTTTGGAGCCATTGTTGTCCTGTTGCGCTTTTCCCCTGCAATGACTATAGTGCTGATTTGCCTTCTGGGAAGCAGGCTGCAGCCTTCAGCATAGTGCTGCTGGCAGTCATCTGCCACCAGTGAGAGCCTGGTTTATTCTAGATGGTAGTCTTGAAAACTGCTAGTCCTGGAAGCCTTTACAGTGATGAAGCCCAGTCAGAGGAAGGGTACTGGGCTGGCTGGATTGCACTTTTGACCCCGGCATTTGCCGCAGAGTGATTTATCCTGGTAAAAATCTGGGGCTTGCACTGGTACTGTCAGGTTGCAGGTGTGAAATCCCATCATAGGCAAGCTAGCTCTACGTTCTTCCACCCTCTGGTTGCCTCTGGGAAATGAGCAGTGGAGCCAGTCAGGTCACACTAAGAAGCCCCATTCAGTCTTCATTTGCACAGAGCATTTGTTGTTCTGTGCACTGGCCATTTCCATGCCTGATTCTCTCTACTTCCCTAGGGCCGTCTGCAAGAAATTTGGGCTGCACGTGAGCCGGCTGATGCTGGCCTTCCTAGTTCTCAGCACTGGGATGTTCTGCTCAGCAGCGGGTAGGTTTGCTCAGAGGTGAGTTGTTGGGATGGGAGACAGACTGCAGCCTTTATTGTCAGGGCACTGCCCTGGCCTTTCAAATCCCTAACTCTCACACAGGATCTCAAATACTCTGGGAATATCCTTCCTTAAATAGTTATGATGCTTTCACCTGGTACTACTGCAAAAGAAGGCCACATGCTGGCATTGTAATGTACCAATGTTTCCTGTTCCCCCGCTGATCTCTGCTTCGCTGCCAACCTGTACCCACCTGCCAGAACAGGTGTTGTGTGTGTGACAGGAGGTTTTGTGCAAAGGCTGCAGGCGTTTCACACCGTGGTTTCTTGCGCTAGGCATGGATGTCTCTGCAGGAGAGGCGGTGTCACTGTTGGAGTGTGGCTGAGATCCCCTGTTCTATGCTGCCTATGTTTGTTTATAGCGAGGGAAAGGCAAGACCCCTCACTGTCTTGGAGACACTACAAGTCTCATTCCTTCCATATTTATGTTGCCATAATCTCTCTCTGGGTTTTTCAGCGGCAGTGCCTAGGCCATTTCAATCCCTGTTTACTCTGGGGGCAGGTTCACATCATCCTTTCCATTCTGGAGGGGAGCAGGTGTGGTAAGATCAATAGAGATGTTCTGGATTGGCCCCTAATAAGGCAAGCTGGGGGTTGCAGGGACAGAGCAGGAGGAAGCATCTCCAGGCTGGATTTTGGCAAGGTGAGGATGAGACTCCCTTTCTGCTGAAGTGAGGACTTCAGAAGGAAGCCTTTGCTCCATTGAGACCAAAAGCTGTGTTGCGGTTGACCGAAGTGGGGCCAGGATTTCAGTGCTGGTATTTCTAGCAGGACTTCACCTGTTATAGGCATAGGTTGGCCTTTATGTGGTGCTTCACTGCGATGGATGCTTAGCTGACCCCTTCCTTCCCTTGCTTTGCAGCCTTCCTTCCCAGCAGCTTCTGCATGTACACCACAGTGATCGCCATGACCGGTTGGTATATGGACAAGACCTCCATCGCCGTGCTGGGGGTGGCCGCGGGAGCCATCATGGGCTGGCCCTTCAGTGCTGCTCTTGGGTAAGGAGAAGGGAGAGCCTTGGCTGCATGGATATTCTGTGCTGTTTCAGTGCTGGGCTCCCAGCTGCCAGGCCTCCCGCATGTGCACAGAAGAGCCTGTGGCACCGCTAACAAAGCCTTGCTCTCGTGTGGTTCAAAGCCATAGCCACTCTGTGTAGACTCCGCTTGGCATCTTTGCCATACAGAGCAGTCATTGTGCCTGTGGCTGCTGCAAACTTGCCTTGCAGACACTAGGGGCTCACGGTTAACACCAAGGAGTCCTAGATTTGATCCCCTCTGCCAACAACCCACCCACCTTGAGACTGTTGCTTTTATGGAGGTGGTGTTATTGCCTGAGATGTTACTTTCTGAGAGGCTTATATTCTGTAGGTCTTTTTGACTCCTAAGTGACCTGAGAAACATTCCTACGCTGGGGACTGGAGCACTGACAGGCAGGCCTCCTCACAGCAGCCTCTGTTCAGCGATAGGACCAGTCACCGTGGAAGGCAGGCTTGCATCTCCTGTCGATGAGACTCTGACGCGTGCTTTTTTTTGCCAGGCTGCCCATTGCTTTTGACTTGCTGATAATGAAGCGGAGGTGGAAGAGCTTCCTGAACTGGTGCCTGGTGTCACTGATCCTATTTTTGGTGAGTTCCCACAGCGAGGGCTAGCATGAAGAGTAGGGATGGGGCTAGGGCTGTGGCTGAGCTGCAGTGAGAGGACTTGCCCAGTAAGGGGCTCATTAATGCAACTCATGCAGATCTTCTCACCCCATGCACCCAAAGCATCTCCTGGTGGGGCTTGGTCTTCTCATTCCCACAGCTGAGCTGTGCATTCATCCTCTGCCACAAGGCTCTGAGTGGCAGGGCTGTCTTTCTCCCTTGACGTTTTTCTACTAAATGTCCAGCCCTTTCAAAGAGAGTAGAGCAACTGCAACCCACCAGGAACCTGGTGTCTCCCACAGCTCAGACTAGCGCAGCCCACAGCTGGGCACTGCTGCAGCGTGTGCTGCCCTGACTCTATATTCATTGTCCCACAGCAGCTGGGGAGAGACTGGCAGGGGTGTGCACACCAGACCTCCTGTGTTCTCAATGTCACCACCTCATTGCTGTACATAGGGCTAATGATGATGTGGATTGTATGCCGATTCTAGCCCTTGGGGAAGGGCAGCACTGAGTATGGGCTGCCAGTGAGAGCCCAGCAGTTGTGAAGCATGGGGATAAAGTGGCTGTTTGTTTTCTGGCACAAGTAGAGGCATTTGGTGGCAACACTCTTCAGTGGGCAGCTTGCAGCGACTGGCCACTGCACGTGACAGCCAACTGTGTGATGTGAATTCTGATTGCTTTGTTCCAGGTCCCCTTGGTGGTTGTGGACAGCTACTACTATGGGAAACTGGTTGTTGCGCCTCTTAACATTGTATTATACAATGTTTTTACACCTCATGGACCCGACTTGTACGGTGAGTCACTTGGGACAAAGAGCTGAGGGGATGTTAGTGGCTTGCTTGACGCGGCTTGATGGGATAAACCCATGAGCTTGCAATCCTCAGGTGTTTTTCTGACCTGAATTTTCAAGCAGGGCCATTTCTTTTTTCCCCCGTCTCCTGTGAGCTGATAAGTGAAGCAGTTCCAGGCTCACGCCACTGGATGTCTCTCTTGATTCAAGAATACACCCATCAGGGTTATATTTCCTGTTTGTTTTGCCGAGCGCTTTAAGTTCAGTTGCTTTTGATGAGTTCCTAGCTTTGAAGTTCAGTGTATCACAGAGACATCATGGGATGTCTCTGCAGCTCATCCTTCCCGGCAGAGATCTGCTCGCGGTAGACTTGTTTGGAATACAATGAAACTGCACCAGGCACAGACAGAATTCATTTTTACACGTTTTAGATTCTCCCTAGTACGCAGTTACAATTTCAGCTCATTTCCCCGGTGTTATTCAGAGAGGTTGTTTGTAACAAAGCCCTGGATGACTCATCATCTGTCTGAATAATGTTGGTTACACACTCAAACCAACTGCTAATTTAGTTGGAGATGCCAAAGAAAAAGCCAGTGCAGTTTGAGTGTGTTTGTCAGGTTTAATTCCGGTGTTGGCTCTCCCTGGCTTTTGTAGGCAGGGTGTGGGTCCCTGGCACAACGTGCAAAGGAGAGCACAGCCCTGAGCCCTTTCAGTTCACATTGAGGCTTCCCAGACTCACTGGTTCCATGCTCTTGGGGATCTGCTTCCTTCCTTGACGATGCCTGTCCCGAGCATTGCTGGCAGCAGTTTAAGGACGTTACTCTCTGGGAGCCTGGAGAAAGATGAAAGGTTAATGAATTCCACATGCTGCAGAGTGTTTTGAGCAGGCTTGCTGGGGCTGGGGCTTTGCCTCTTGTGGGGGTCTCTTGATCTCTGTTTAGGTCCCAACTACTTGTGAATTGGGTGCGGGGAGGGACTTGGGGGGGGGAATTCTGAGAGAGGTGGAGGGAGGAACAATAGCACTTAGCCCTATGTAGCTCTCTTGGTGGGGCACAGAAGACCTGCCCTGCACTTTTGAGGTAGATGCTGCAGGAATTGTTAGCCTCACTTCCCAGATGAGGAACTGCAGCACAAGGGAGACAAAGTGACTTGCTGGAGGTCCCCAGGGAAGTGAGTGGCGGAGGCAGGGTTAGGATTTCATGTGGTGTAGTTAAAAGATGGTGGAAACTCCAAACTGATCTGAGGGGAATGTGCTTCTTCACACAGCCTGTAACTACACCATGGAACAACTGGCCACAGGGCGCTACTGAGCTCAGCCGGACCCAGGAAGGGACACGGATGTGGGTATCAAGTGTCTGGAGTTGTCAAAATGAATGGCAAAAACATTCAGAAGGGATGTTAAACCTCAGGCCTCAGGGTTTAAGCTGCTCTGTCTAGTGGAGACCAGGATGGCACCTAACTCGGTGTTTGATTTTACCCCATAGCTGCCGGCACAGGCTTCTTACCTCTTCCTACAAAATGCTTGGTGCTGGCTGTGGCTGGAGACAGGATGCCAAGTTGGATTGATTTTAGGTCCAGCCCAATCTAACAATTCCTGTGCTTCTAATCTGGGAACTGGTTCCCTGTCCTGTGCTCAGACCCTTGGACTCCATCCCACCAGAAGAGAAAGGCATGGGGTTGGGGCAGGGTGTCTTTGCTATTAGGGATAGCTTATATCACTGAAGGAGCTGAAGACTGGTAGCCTGTCTAGGGGGGAGCCCTTGGGGTGTCCCTTTGAGAGCTCCTTTTAACACGGATGCTGGTGCACTTCTGATTGCCCTGGGCTGGACTGCAGCAGTGATTAGTTACGAGTGCCTTCTTGGCCTCTAGGTGTGCACCACAGGTCACATGGGCAGCATCTTTCACTGGGGCAAGGAGCATTTGGTTGGGCAGCCTAGTCCCTCATCTGTGTCTGTAGTGCAGGAGGGTGAGCTTTGTCCTTGCCAGGGACCTTGATCTCTGCAGGAAGCATTTGCATGAATAGCAGCGAGTCCTCCATTATGGAAACTCCAGATGGATTTGGCAGGGGCTCCTCTGACTTTTCAGCACTAGTGCAGGAGCTGCTCCTGGTGACCTTGGGGGACCCATCCATTCTGAAGGATTGTAGTCGCAATGACACTCGTAATGTCTGTGCTAATGCAGGAGCCACACTTAACAGCTGCTTCTTGCAACACAGCCCGGGTGGAGTGCTGTACATTAGGGATTTTTATCAGGGTTACTCTTACCCCTGCTTATGGAGAGGAGGCAGCTGGCAGAGCAACTGTTTTGGAGCAGAGGGGCTCCTTCCAGCTTCCATGGGAATGAGATACAAGTCTCAACAGCATTATGCCAGCCCAGGTTTCCCTTGCATATCTCCTGTTGCTATCAGAGCATGTCAGCAAGGCGGCTGGGCATGGGCTCAACTCACCTGCGCGAGAGGGCAGTGACATCTCCATTGCCTTCCCTTTCACCTGGCTCATGGTCTTTTCTGGTCTTCAGGCCATGCTCAGCTCTGTAGTGCCCCTGGTATCTCTCCTTTGCTTGCCAGCTGAAAGCGAGGACAGCCACTTTTACAATTATTTTCAGATCTAGCTTCTCCTGCAATCTGTCGAATAACTGGTGGTTACCCGGTTCCTCTTTCCAAGGGCAAATCTCATGGGTGGAGATTTCATGCTTGTATTCTTAAGGCCCTGAGGGGGTTCCCCCCCCGTCCCCTAAAAATATAGGCAGCTGGTGATTCTCAGGAGAACTATTATCTGAGAGGTCAGGAGAGCATTGAGAGCTGTTCCCATGCGACCTGGACTGCTGTGCAGTGATATTTGCTATGACAGGAGCTCTGACTGTGAGTGGTGACCCTGCAGAAACTTTGTTTTGGGCTTGATCAGGTTCAGGTGATTTCACTGGAGTTGCACCTGAGTTTCACCAGAGTTGTACAGTGCCTAGCACAGCAAGATCTTCGTCCATCCCTGGGTCTCCTAAGTACTGCTTTATACAGTGTCTGAGTCTGGCTTCCTTAGATTAAAAGTCATAATGGGCCCTGAAGGAGCTCCAAGGTGGATTTTGTTCCTGGGATGCCAGTCACTGCTGGTTCTCCCTTCATGTGGCCTGATACATTGGTGCTTGAACCTCTGTCTATCCTATATTTGCAGCAGCCTTTTCTCAGGATGTATCGCTGTTTGTAGCCAGAATACAGAACTCACTGCCCTGTTTTGTTTCTGTGCAATTTATTCCTTTGTCCCTGCCAACAAGTGACACGGTAGAAGGCCATTTGCTTTGTGCTGCGGTGCAGCGGCCCCTCCCCTCCCCACCCCAGTCCTCTTCTCTAAAGGACACTGTTGGGGGCAGGATTGCTCCTGGTGTGTAGTGGGCTGTTTTCCCCCTCATTGCAGTCGTGTGTCTGATCACCTTGAGCTGTTGCACACGATGAGCATAGAAGCGCTTTGCCCTGGGAAGCCCCGAGACAGAGCATCTCTGAAGGGGTGAGTCACCACAGCGACCAAGCAGGGGACCCGTGTTTGTGACACACAGCCATGCGTCAGTGGGTCGCTTTGCTTGCCCGCATGACGCATGCTTCTCAAGAGAAGCCGCTTTCCTTTCTGAGCTGCGGCAGTAAATATGTCCTTGGACAAGAAGGACAGGTCCCAGCCCTTGGTGCGGAAGAGACAGTGCTGTCATGCCTCAGCAAGTGCTGGAGCACTGGTCTCAGGCCACTCATTGCCTGAGCCTGTCACAGGGTGGTTGGGTCTCAGAGAGCCTGGGATCAGCTGTGATCTGACACTTTTCCTCCCGGGGTGTTTGACTGTACACTACATAATAGCCTTATAGAAAGGGGAAAGCAGGCTATACAAGATAGCCTCCTGTCCCCCTCCCCTCAACATACGGATTGGCCTTGGCATGGTTTCTTGAGGGCCAGTCACAGAAGTGTCAGTGAGGCCTTTCCAGGCAAGGGCTCAGAGAGGCTAAAAGCCACCTGAAGTGCCTGCACCAACCCATAAACTCTAGAGGGATGTCAGGGGAGAAGCCTGTGAGACAGCATGCGAGGTGGAGTGGACCAGATGGGTGACCAGAACTGGAAGGAGAGGAAGGGTTCATTAACATTTTGAATAAACAGACAATTGAGGGCACAGAGGTGAATTGGACATGATACAAAACGCAATGCAGAGTCACCCAAGGTGGATTGTGTCCAGCATACCCGACATTGGGAAGCCTTCCTCTGGCTTGGCTTGGCACTGCCCTAAGCCATGGTTGGCTTGCTGCCTGCGTGATTTTGGGGTCTTTATCCCATCTCTGGGTAGACTGAGAATTGTGCTGGTGTAGGGCTCTGATGGGAGAGCATGCAGGTGGGGAGGGATTCAGGGTTAATTGCTGATCCCCTCCCCTCCTGAAGAAGAAAAAATCCCCTTAATTGCATTTTGCTTCCAGCACCACTGTGCTTCCAGACAGAGGCTTCCCAAATAAACTGAGGCGCTCGGGCCCTGCTGCGGCAATGCCTCCGTGGTCTTGACGTTACCAGTTCAGCTTCTAATCGCATTTAGTTGGTACAAGCTGCAGAGGTGTCGAGTTTTCCTCGCTGCTTTTCAGTTGTCTGATTAATTTCAACACGGACCCTTTTTAAGTGGTTCTGATTTCAGGAAATTGCTGCGGCATGTGACACATGTCACAACAGTGCAGTGATTAAAGCCCCCGCATGTCATTTGCCGACTGATTGAGCTAATCATACCGAGAAAGTGGCAAACGTGCAGAGAGGAGCTGGCGTTCCTCATTGTTCAGGATTTGCAGCCTCTCGAGTTAAGAGTCCAAATGAGTGACAGTCAGACTGGAACGTCTGTCAGTTTGCATCCTTCGAAGCTTGCAACCAACAGAGACACCTGAGTGTGTCATGCTCGAGGAGGAGGGGCTGGATTGATGCTGTTTAAAGCTAAGCTGTAGGGAGAAAATGGAACGACGCAGGGCAGTTTCAGAGCCTGCCAATAATGAGCATGCATA